GTTAAAGTGTAATGATCATACATCTGCAATGCATTGTATGTCCTATAATATGTCTCATTCTTCTATTTTTTCTTGGAAGTCGATGACTATTCATAGTTATTACCTTGACACCAAAGAAGAGTTTGATTCAATTCTTTATTTCTGTCCTAGTTGATCTTGATTCGACATTAGAAGTATATTGATTTTTCCCCAATAACCGAATACGTTTGTTTGTAAATACTGCATATTTGATGCTAAACTAATAAAAAATAAATAGCATTAAAATTGATTTTTATTGACCAATCAGAATTGTCTTCCAAGATCTATAATTGCCACAAAATGTCCAATATATATATATGCATTATTGGACCTTTTGAATAACAACCAAGAAGATCTTATGAAAATTGAACATTTTTCGTAACGAAGAGATAAAACAGATATTGGGCATTTTAGAAAAATATTTTGTAATTAATTTAGAAAAAAAAAATAAGTTTTAAATCTATTGGACTTAGTGAAAATAGATTGAAAACGGACATAATTAGTGAGAAAGATTTGCTTATCCTCCAACCAATTCCTCTGATTGCTCTTAATCTTTTGTAACTGAGGTTTGTTCCTTCTCCCTTACACAATATTGTGGAAGAACCTAGTATTTCATGTCACCAATCCCAAACTAGTCATATCCTGCCTTTTATTGCAAGAAAATCTCTTCAAAATGAATATATCTTTTATACTCAACTTAAGCTCTTTGCAATATTTCTCTATTTTCAGTTGTGGGCACCTCATCAAACAACTTTTCTTTAATCTTGACAATATATTTCTCTAATTATATGCTTCTTAAAAGGATCACCATAAGTATATATCTCTACTCCATTTGCTTTTAATTTCGTGATATTATCTTTGAAATGTAGAAAAAAAAAATTGAGAGGCACTAGAGATCCAATTTATTCTAACAATGTCTTCAAAAGAATCATTCTCAGTCTAGAATTTGAGAAATTTAAATGATTTTCTATGTCTGTTCACAATAACTTAACAATGTAACAACATGGGAGCTTGATCAGAATCTATTTATGGTAAGTGTTCCACCTCAGTATGATTAAGTCAGTCTTGCATCTGTCTATTGATTAAATTTTTAACTAATCCTTCAAATTAATATACACTCATTACTAGCCCTATTAGTCCATCAAATAAAAGGACTCCTCCTAAAATGTACTTACATCAGGTTACAAGATGATATGTAATTCTCAAAATCGTCACAATCAACATATTAACTGGTAAACTACCAATCTTCTCTTCTGAGTTTAGTACCACATTAAAATAATCTCAATCAATTAAGGGATGTTCATTTCTTGTATCAGTTGATATATATCCTCCTAAAAGATCAATCTTTAATCAGAATTGCACTTAACATACACTAGTGTAGCAAAAACGTTGTTTGTATGACTGTGATGCTTTAACTTCATGATTAGTTTTTTATTTGTGCCACTAATAACTGTAGAATCTACATCATGATTTGTTAAAAAATCAAATTTTCCATTAAAATTTGTTGTAGCATTTGCCATCTTCAATCTCCTTGTATATTTTTAGATGTGTCTAGAATTTTGAAAAAGTTCAATTAAGCCAATGAATAAGAAATTATGGAACTTATGTATCACTTTCACTCTCTGAAAAGCTTGTAGAGATTTCACTGATCTTATATTTCATATAAAAGCTCTCATTAATACATTCTGAGGGTTGCTCTGATTTTCTTTGACTGCCCCGGCCCTTCATCTGATTGACTATGTTGCCTGATTATTGCAATTATTGTTGCAAATATCACTAACCTGTTTAGTAACGTCTTTAAAATTTTCTTCTATAATATGCATCTTCTTCTTTTTTTCCTTCTGGAATCATGTATGTTAACATTTGTTTTTCCTTTGAATTACTCTAACGTGTTGATTTGTTATTGATCATGTGTATTATTCATTATTGCAGATTTATTTCCTCTGTCTGCTAGGACTACCCGGCGTTGAATAAACATTTTCCTTTCGTAAGGTAAGACCAAAAGCCTTGGTGACCCAATCTTTTGTTGATTCTTTATTTCCCTTATCATTATCTTCTTAGTTAATTTGTTGTTATAGTTTTATTGTTGCCTTTACTCCTATATTTTGATTCCATAATATCTTTACCAACCAAAGCTTGAAATTTTGTTCTCCATAATGGGAAGAGATTGATTGTCACTATTGACAAATCTCCTTTTTTCCCTAACCACATTCCAATTTCCCAGATTCCTAACTAATCTACAACTTGAAAGCACTTTGACTTTTTATGTTTGTAGTCTTGGAATCTACTTTGGTGGAGTATCCTACATGATGAGTCTTGAATCATGTGATAATTAACTTGTTGTAACCTATGTTTTTCCTTACTTCTTGATTGTTTGACAATTATCAGTATTCTTATTTTTATTTTATAACCGAGAAATCCGTATGTGACCCGCCCTTTGGACCAATCACAGCCTTCTAAACTCGGTGGATAATGGGTTCGCCCCTCTACCCTTCTCCACTTAAATATCAGGCATTTCTTTGCATGGTGTGGGGCTTGAACCTGCGACCTAAGCCACAAATCCTCCACCTTTTGCCACTTGAGCTAGTTGACAATTATCAGTATCATGTCCTTACATTATGCATTCACCACAATGCTTAGGGCATAGTCATATATGATATCTACCATAGTAGTTGTCACTTCTCTAGTTTTTTCATCTTCAATATTAGTCCTCACCACCTTGGAAAAAGTCCCTTATAAATTCACCAGTACATTCACACGTGAACAACTAGGCTAAGTCTTATTAATAGTTTCTTGATCTAATCGGATGTCGTCGCAATTGAAAGTAAACATTCTTTTACAGAGAAGGTGCCTGCAATAGGTTTGGAAAGAGAGAAGATAGAAGCTTGCATCTTCCAGCTTTAAAATATAAGTTAGTTATTTTTTCACTTGCTATAAATAGTTAGCCCATTCTTATCACGGAAAAAAATAGGCAGAATGGTATGGTGGACCCTTGTACTTGTATCTGTTTGTATTGTGAACCCTTATACTTACCCTTTTGTCATCTGGACCCCTGAACCCATCCAAACCCAACATTTTAAACACTTTTTTTGATGTGGTATGGAGCATGTTGCACAAACACGTACACGTTGGCCAAAAAGAAAAAAAAATCCACGTATGATATTATATTCCATGTGGCAAATGACTCACCTTAAACTAAGAATAGTCCTCACTCCGGCGAAAGTTTTCAAACCTTCGCGACTTTTACTCTTCTCCTCTTCTCCTCTTCTCTTCTCCTCTCCGCGACGTTCGTCTGTGATTTTTCAAACCTTCGCTCAGTTGAAGCTCAGTTCCACTCTGATTTTCGTTGTAAGTTCTTGCCTTTTGCGTTAGTTCTAATCTTTTTCATTTCCTCGCGCGTATCTGTTTGATTTTAGGGTCGATTGTCATTCGATTTTCTGAAATTTTTTGGGGATTTTACTTTGGTTTGGATGTAATATTATTGTAATATGTTTTCTTAGTTGATGTATGAGTGACTTCAATGGCATATTTCGTGAATTCGAGTAGATTCTAGGGTTTATTCGTAAAATCTTAAATTTGACTAAAATTAATATTTTATTTCTGGTCAATTGTCTTGGGTATTGATAGTGTTAGTGGAACATTATTACAGCAATTACAGTCATGGTAAGTTAATGGCTTTAACTGTTACAACAATTCATTATTTCCTTAAAAAAAATTAGGGATTTTTGTGTTACAGTCATGGTAAGTTTATGGTTTAACTGTAGTTATTTTTTTTTTACTTTACAGGCATCGTAAGGTAATGGTTTTTACTATAGTGACACTTCAATTTCACTATGGGGGCTGTTTTGTATCTAATCCTACTTTAAGGTATGTCAATGGAATCGGTAGTGTTGAAAAGATTAATATAGATGTAGATGAGTTGCATATTATGTTGTTTCATAAAATAGCAATGGAATTGGGTGTTGAAAATGTTGAGACATTTGGATGTAGAGTCAACAAAAAGGGTACTTTTTACATGTTAAATACTGATTCTGATGTTTTAAACTTTCTGAATGGTTTGAATGGTGCTGATTTTGTTGATATATATGTTGTACATCCCATTAGTATACATTTAGTTGTAGAGGAGATACTTGTATTGCCTAGCACAAATGCTGATGTGTCCTCATCTCCACAACAAGATAATGTTGATGTGTCCTCCTCCCCACAAATAGATAGGGCTGATGTGTCTTCATCTCAACCATTTGATGAAAATGAAAATAGGAATTTAAACCAAAATCAGCCCCCTTTAGTTGAAGAACAAGCCCCTGCCCCTAGAGTTGAAGAACATTCTGATTCTGATTCACTCTATGATATTGATGAAAATATTGATGATTTGAGTGATTTGGATGAGGAGTTGCTTCAAGCTAGGCAGTCTAATATTCAAGAACAAGTTAAAGAAAAGACTGCTAGAGTAAATCTAGATGAGATACCATCTGGTCCTATAGGTATAGATGCTGGTTTTGAAGACATTTATAAGGAGAAGAGGGGGAGATTTGGAGGCAATTTGGGTGGTGATGACCCTTATTTTGATAGCTCAGATCCTAGTAGTGACATTAGTGAAGATGAAGGAGATCCTGTTGAGAATGATGAAGTGGTAGATCCAGCACCTAGGAAGGAAAGTACAAAGATCTACTTTGATCCAACTGCTAAAAAGGTTTTATTTCAACTGTATATGGTATTTTTGAATCACATAGAGTTCAGGGAGGCACTACAAACTTACTCTATTCAGAAGGGTGTTAATATTAAGTTGAAACCTAATGAGAAGGAAAGGATAAGGGCAAAGTGTAATAAAAAAGGTTGTCCTTGGCATATTCTTGGAAGTATTGATGGTAACACTGGAAATTTCAGTGTTAAAACATATTTTCCTGCTCATAAGTGTTTTAAAAGAACAAGAAACAAATTGTGCCTCCATTTGGATTAGTAAACATTACAAGGAGAGGATTATGAGTGAGCCTACCATCAAACTACATCAGATTCAGTCTTTGATACAAAAGCAATATGGTTTGTATGTTAGTAAGACAAGTTGTAGAAAGGCAAAACTGAGAGTTATGAATGAACATATGGGAGATTTCAGAGAGGAGTTTGCTAGGTTGTATGATTATACTGAGCAATTAAAGACCACAAATCCTGGAACTACTGTATCTATTAGAACATCCAAGAACACAATTCCAAGAAAAGAGGTGTTTATGAGCATATATATTTGTCTTGGTTCCTTAAAAATTGGATGGAAAGAAGGGTGTAGAAGGATTATTGGTTTAGATGGTGCATTTCTTAAAAGTGTATGTAAAGGTAAATTGTTATCTTGCATATCCAAAGATGGAAATAATCAGATGTACCCTATAGCATGGGCAGTAGTTAATAAAGAAACCAAGGACACATGGTCTTGGTTTCTCAAGTGCATCAAACATGATTTGGAGCTTACAGAAGGTGAAGGACTAACAGTGATGTCTGATATGCAAAAGGTATTACTATATTATTTGTTAAATTTATTTCTTCATTTTTGGAGTAATTAATATTTAATATTGTTGTATGTAAAATGTTCTTTGTTTGACAGGGTCTTCATCTTGCACTTATTGATGTATTGTCAAATGCTGAAATTAGATGGTGTGCTAGGCATATATGGGCAAACTGGAAGAAAGACTGGAGGGGTGAAGAAAGGAGAAGAAAATTCTGGCAGGTTGCTAGGGCATCATTTGAGGTACTTTTATAGTCCAAACTTGATGACTTGAGTGAGTTAGGAGTAGGCATTGTAGAAGCTTTGTTAAAGTATAACAAAGAAGCATGGTGTATGGCATATTTTAAAGAACATAGCAAGTGTGATGTGGTTGAGAACAACATGTGTGAGACTTTCAACAGTTGAATTTTAGGTGCTAGGTTCAAATCAATAATCACTATGCTAGAGGAAATAAGAGTCACAGTTATGGAAAGAATGAATCACATGAGAGAATTTTCAGAAAAATGGATTACTGATGTAGCACCAATGGCTATGGATATTCTTAGAAAAAATGTTGAAATTGCAGATAATTGTGAGGTAAAGTTTAATGGTGATCTTGGCTTTGAGATTCATGATCCACCGTATAAACATGTTGTTGACCTAAGAAAAAAGGTGTGTAGTTGTAGGTCATGGCAATTAAAGGGAATTCCTTGTGGCCATGCACTTACAACAATTCATTATAAGGATTGGGTTGTTGATACATTTGTTGATCACTGGTATAAGAAGGAAACATACCTGAAAGCATATAATAGGTTTTTTCAACCTATGACAAACATGAAGATGTGGCCAAAAAGTGATAGACCAGTCATTGAACCACCTGAAATTACAGCTATGCCAGGAAGACCAGGAAAAAATAGGAGAAAAGATAGTGATGAGCCACTTAAGAAGAAGTTTGGAAAGGCTACAAGGAAGGGAAGAAAAATGAAATGTTCTGTGTGTAAGACTTTTGGACATAACAAGAAAGGATGTCCAACTCTGGTAAGTTGTGCTTTGATGTCTCTTTGTTACTGAATTTTACTCTTGTTATACCTTTGACTTTAAAATATGTTTGTAGAAAAATGTTGCTGCTGGAACAACTGCAACTTCAAATGTTACTGCTGGAACAAGTGTTGCAAGTGTTGCAACTGCTGGAAGCCAGTCAAGTGTAAATGCAGGTCCAAGTGCAGGTCCAAGTGCAGGTCCAAGTGCATGTCCAAGTGCAGGTCCAAGTGCAGGTCTAACTAGTGCTCAACAATCAACTTCTAGTGCATGTGGCCAAAAAAGGAAGACTAGCACAGCTTTGAGAGGTGGTGCAACTCTTGCATATAAGAAACCAAAACCAAAAAAGCAAAGACAGCTGGTTATGGTCTCTTATTTGGATCAGGCGGCAGTGTAAATGCGAGGGTATGTATTTTATCATTTAAACACATTAAATTGCTTTAATTGATATTAGTTCATCTTTAAGTTAAGATTTTTGTTGTTCTCTCAGTCTGAAAATACTTATAGGGTATTACATAGTGCTACATTGTCAAGTTCAACTCCTACTAATATTTATCTTGGTTACAAACTCAATGGACTAAGGTGGAAGGGAAGAGCTGCAATTACTCAAAGGCAGCTACGGGAGGAGAGTTACAGAAGCACTCAAGGCACACCAAGCACTCAAGGCACACATTAGATTTCACTTGGTTTAGCTTAATGACTTGATCCCAACTAACTTTATTTTGATTAATGACTTGATCCAATTTTTTTGGTTATGCTATTAGGAAGACTTTGTTTTTGTATATGAATGGCGCCTACGTGAATTTGTGTTATGTTGCTATTAGGAAGACTTTGTTTTTCTGTATGAATTTGTGTTTGAATGAAGTTGCTATTTAGATTTCTGAAGCAAATGCAGTCCATTTCATTATCAAATAACACCTAGTACAAATTAATATATCTTAAAAATAACGGCTACAAACCAAATAACAACAATCACAATAACAGTGATATCAATACTAGTGTTTGATCCTTGTCTTCCTTGTCTTCTATGTCTTCCTTGTCTTCCTTGTCTTCCTTGCCCTGAACTCGTTGATGGATTCAATGTTGTATTGTTCTTGGCATGTTGAATCATTTGCATCAGCCCATCGGAAGAATCTACACCCATTACCGGATGAATATTTTTGGCAACCCCAAAACATTCTTTCAGGATTAGTTGGTGTTCTTGATGTCTTTAGTTCAGCATATATTCCACAGTAGCAACATCGAACCGTCATTGTGAAGACCAACAAAATCAAACCAACAAAAATACAATAGAACCACACACAAAAAAAAAAAAAAAAAAAAAAAATACAATAGAATCACACACAAAAAAAGATGAGTAGATCGAAGGAAAAAATAAAGGCATCAAAAATAAAAGAGAAAAAAATTTGAAGAGACAAAATCGAGAAAAAGAGGAGAAAAAAGCTCAAATTTGTCCAACAATGGTGTTTGAGTGAAAATAAAGAAGAAAGATGGCCTTTAAAGGTCAAAATTTGACCGTTAGTGCCTTTTTAAGGCTTCTCACGCTCTTACCTTGTGTATATCACACGCTCCATGTGGAGTCTTTCCACATAGGATGCCACATCAAAAAAAATGTTTAAAATATTGGGTTTGGATGGGTTCAGGGGTCCAGATGACAAAAGGGTAAGTATAAGGGTTCACAATACAAACAGATACAAGTACAAGGATCCACCAGACCATTCTGCCAAACAAATAATTCAATTCTCGTGTTTTCATGTCTCTATCATTTCATTCTTCTTATACTTGTCACGCTTTTCAATAGTTCATTTTCTTTGGAGTAAAGGGTCAAAATAACATCTAAACTATCTTAGTTTTTTTAGTTTTATATCTGCACTATTGAGAGTGTGAGTTTTTTATCTAAACTATTGAGAGTGTGAGTTTTCTATCTGAACTATCACTCAATAATTAACGAAACACACCTCCACTAATTTCTAATGATGTGTGTACACTCTCTCTTTTGTTTAAAAATTATGTCATGTGGCAGTCCATGTGAAAAAATGATTTCACCGTAGCAAATCTAGATAAATTATTACTAAGTTAAAGGTTACAACTATAACCGTATAAACATCCACTATCTACTTCTCCACCTTCTTAGTCGTGGTCTCATCTTTGTCGTGGCATCCATATCTCCAACTTGAAAGGGGAGAGTTTAGGATTTTAAAGAAATTATATATATAAAAATTTGTCAGCAAATAAAGTCATTGTTTTTTTTTTTATCGAAATTGGGCATCAGTGCCCTTTATTGACTTAAAAAAGAAAGATACCTATGCCTCGTGAAGACAGCCCAATAGTTCCCAATTTGCCAAGACAAGAAAATGTAAAGACAAAATAAAAAATCAGAAATCAAAATGAGAAAGCATCCTAAAACCCAACTCCAACTTCAATCTCCAGATCCTCTGCCATGGTGACTGTTGAAATCGGATCTGCTGGTGAGTGTCCTCGAGTCGATTCCCTCCATGTCTCGTTGCCTCATGCTTTCCATCCGATCTTTGAGCTCCATTACCAAGATTTTTACCCTTTCCTGCAGATTGAGCCAGAGATCTAGCAAATAAAGTCATTGTACATAGTGGATAAAGATTTTATGGACAAACACACCTAGAAGTTGATTGCTTTTGTCAGAATTAGAATGAATAAAGAAAAGAGTTAAAAAAGTCAAAAACATATTTAAATTAATTTATTTTATTGAGTTTTATAATTAAACTATTGAGGGTATGAGTTTCTTACTTGAACTATCACCATGGTCAACTTCTAGGGTATGTTTCGCTAACCATTGAGTGATAGTTCAGGTAGAAGACTCATACTCTCAATTGTTTAGTTATAAAACTCAATAAAATAAATAATTTAAATGTGTTTTTGACCTTTTTAACTCTATTCTTTATTCATTCTAATTCCGACAAAAGCAGTTGAGAGATTGAAGAGTTTCATCTAGTTAGGTGCACCTTAGACATTCCTGAATAGTGTTGTATTTTGGGAGGAGAACAGCACTTTTTTGTGTTATTTATAAAGGTGTTTGGCTAGTATAGAATTTAAGAAAGGAAGGACAATTTTTGAAAATTATGACTTAAAATAAATTATAGATATAGAAGGTGTAAAACTTTATAGGACTCATGATTAAAAAATAGAATGTCATATAGATTGAGACAGACAAAATGTTACTCCCTTCATCTCATATTAGTTGATCACTTTTCTATTTACACACATATTAAGAAATCATAAATAAGAAGACAATTTTATTAGTTCACACTTAAAATCATTTTGGAAATTTTACAAACAAATGTGAATACTTTCAAAAAGAGTTAATTGTGAGGGTAACATAGGAGAATTCTAATTAATGTTTCTTGATTTAGAACATGTTTAGATTGGTTTAAAAGTTGGTCAAACCTATTTCTAAGTCATTTTTAGCTTTCGAAAGTGTTTGGTAAAGTTTAAAATGACTTTAAAAAGTTAAAACTCAAAAGTAGAACGCTACTACTTTTTATTTTTTTACTTAAAAGTCATTTAAGTTTGACCAAAGATATTACTTTTGTACCCTCAATTCTTTTAGATAATTTCAAATTTACCCTTCTGAAATAAAAAATTCTAAGATCTTCTCTTTCCCTCAAATATGTGTGTGTCCTAAGATCTTATGTGTGCGTGAGAGAGACTGATCTCTCATCTTCCTTAACTATGTATGGCTAATGAATTCCTCGCTTTAGTCTGTTTTTTTCCTTCTTTGGGCTCAGGTTCATAGTAGCCATGGAGGACGAACGGATATAAGTGATTCACGATAAGCTATAGTTTTTTCAAAAAACTAGAACCATACCGCTTTGAACAGAGTCTCCCTCTTTAACTAGTGCTACCTCCATGTGTATGTGAATGATAGGCAAATATTATTACAAGAGATGCATCTTAAATCCTTCATGTGATCTACCATTCAAATATTATTACAAGAAATACATCTTAAATCCTTCATGTGATATGATCTATTCAAATTATATATTTTAAAATAAGTTGTGCATATAACATTAACTTAAATAATAAGTTTATATTGAAATTTAACTAAAATATAAATTAATTTTATTTTAATTTTTTAAAATAAAATATTTAAAGTAATCAACTTTTTATAATGTTAACAGTTTCAAGGATACTTCAGACATTTTGATTATAATAAGTGTTTAACGACAGTTATGTACCGAATACATCAAACACTTTTTTCAACT